CAGCTCGCCTCAGGAAGGTTGAAGTGCACTCTTCAATCTTCTCTCTTGTCTCTGCTCCAAACCATCAGCTAATTTGCTAAGGTTCTGTCCTTTCAGCCTCCTTCTGGACGGGAGCTTCTGTAAAAAGCTGGCTGCAGTTCGCCATCTTGGCTCCGCCCCCCCAAAATAATTTTTTGTTATATTAATGTAAAACAAAAGTTAAATCAATACATTATTATTGTATATGGTATATAATTTCACTACAATATTTCTGTCATTTTACTCCAACATTGAAAGTATTTTTCACATAGGCATTTTTTGTTGTTGTTGTTATTGTTCTTCAGGTTACATCTCTTGATGAAAAAATTGTGGTTGGCAAGATTACCAAGAAGTGGTCTCAGATGCTCAGAGAGGCATTAACAGATGCTGACAACTTTGCTGTACAATTCCCCATAGACCTTGATGTTAAAATGAAAGCTGTGATGCTTGGTGCTTGTTTTCTTGTTGTAAGTCTATTTTTACTAACCTGGGTTACAGATGGTTTCTCTAATATCATTCTGAAATATGAGAAAATTGTCCATTTTGAGATTACGTCCTAAAGTTTATAGGTTTTATACAAGAATGTCCAGCGCAATCCCTAACTCTAAATTATACCTGGTCTTGACACTCTGGACTCACAGGTAACTAGTTCTTGTATGAAGACCCTATGTACTTTCAAATGACAGGAGAAAGACTTTATCTGTTAAGGAGAAGCCCTGGTTTAGAGGACTTTTATTAAAAAGAAAATCAAACATCATGCATAAGGGAAGAATTTCAATCTAGGCTTACATGGAACAAAACTCAGCAAAACACAGAGATTTCATCCTGGCTCATCAGTCAATTAAATTTTGACTGGTTTAGAGAACTTTTATTAAAAAGAAAATCAAACATCATAAGGGAAGAATTTCAATCTAGGCTTACATGGAACAAAACTCAGCAAAACACAGAGATTTCATCCTGGCTCATTAGTCAATTAAATTTTATAATATACAAAAACAAAATATAATAAAACATGCATGCAATCCAATCTTTAGCTGTAATTACCAATTTCTAGGAAATACATGGGATAAAGTGGTGATTCCTAACTTGACTTCCCACTAGAATTGTCTAGGGAATTTTTAAATCCTCAAATACCAGGCTGTCCCCTAGTTGAGTTAAATAAGAAGCTCAGACTCAGAAGTTTGTGCAGTGCCCCAGGTGATTTCAACATGCAGGCAAAGGTGAGGATTATGGGGACAGAGGAGGTGTGTTCAACCTTAGCTGCACAATTGAATCACTTGAGTAATTTTTCCAACTCCCATGTCCAGGTTGCACCCAAATCTATTAAATCTAAATCTCCTGAGGTACGGCCCAGGTTTCTAGCTGTTTAAGACTCCCAGGTGACTCCACTATGATGCAATTCCCTTTTTCTCTTTTTGCCTTGTTGCCTGGGCTTTGGAGATCATATCCAAGAAATCATTTCCTAGATGATTGTAAAGATCTTACTTTACAAGATCTTATTAAGATCTTTACTAAGATCTTACTTTACTTAGTGTCACAGAGATTTTTGTCTATATTTTCTTTTAGTAGTTTTATAGTTTCAGGTCTCACATTTAAATTTTTAAGCCATTTTTATGGATTTTTATATATGATGCTACATAGGCAATTAAATTCCGTCTTCTAAACATGAATTTTCAGGTTTTACACCATTCATTAAAGAGACTGTCCTTTCCCCATTGTGTCACCTTAGTACCTTTGTCAAAATCAATTGTCTGAAAATGTGTGGGTTTATTTCTGGGCTTTCTATCCTATTCCATTGATCACTATACCTGTCTGTATGCCAACACCAAGCTGTTTTGATATATTTGTAGTGTATTTTGAAACCAGGTAGCATGATGTGTGATGCCTCCTCCCTTGAGTTTGTCCTGCTCCAGATTGCTTTGTCTATGCTGGGTCTTCTGTGATTACTCACAACTTTCAGGATGGGTTTTCTATCTCTGTGGAAAATGTTATCAGAATTTTGATAGGGATTTCACTGAATCTGTGCATCAGGTTGGGTAGTAGAGACATCCTAGAAACGTTAATTGTTCCAGTTCATGATCACAAGGTATCTTTCCATTTATTTGTGCCTTCAGTTTCTTTTATCAATGTCTTACCTTTTCTGTGTGCAAACTCACCTGCAAATTTCATGTTCTTGGTTAAATTTGTTCATGATTATTTTGTTCTTATTGATGCTATTGTAAATGGGATGGTTCTCTTAATTTTCTATAATGGAATTTTAGCAAAAAGTGGTATTATTTACTAAAGAAAGAGTATACAATTTTTTTTGAGAGAGAGAATCTCACTATGTCATGCTTAGTAGAGTGATGTGGCATCACAGCTCACAGCAACCTCCAACTCTTGGGCTTAAGCAATGCTATTGCCTCAGCCTTCCAAGTAGCTGGGTTTACAGGCACCCACCACAACACCTGGCTAATTTTTTTTTTTTTTTTTGTAGTTGTTATTGTTGTTTCCCAGGCCTGTTCTGGGTTCAAACCCACCAGCCCCCATGTATGTGGCTGGCACCCTCACTGCTGAGCTATGGGCGCCAAGCCAATTTTTTTCTTTTTTTTTATTGTTTGTGATTCACTGAGGGTACAGAGAACCAGATTCCACTGATGGCATTTGTCAGGCAAAGTCCCTTTTATGGTTGTGTCCTGCCTCCAAGAGATGTCACACACTGTGATCCCCCACCCTCCTTCCTTCCCTCTCTCCACTCCCCATTCCCCCACCCCACACTATGTACTAGATCATCAATTGTCCTCACATCAGAATTGAGTACTTTGGATTCTTGCTTCTCCATTCTTGTGATGTTTTACTAAGAAGAATGTGTTTCATCTCCATCCAGTTTAATATAAATGATTTAAAGTCTCCATCTTTTTTAGTAGCTGAATAGTATGCCATGGTACAGGTACACATGTACCACAGCTTGTTAATCCATTCCTGGATTGGTACACATTTAGATTGTTTCCATACTTTGGCAATTGTAAATTACCCTGTGATAAACAGTCTAGTGAAAATGTCCTTATAATAAAGTGATTTTTTTTTTCTTCTGGGTAGGTGCCCCCTAATGGAATTGCAGGATCAAAGGGGAGGTCTAGTTTAAGTTCTTTGAGGATTGTCCATACTTCCTTCCAAAAGTTGCATTAGCTAGCAGTCCCACCAGCAATGTGAAAGTGTTCTCTTCTCTGCACATTCACAGCAGCATGTGTAGTTTTAAGACTTTGTGATGTGGACCATTCTGACTAGGGTTAGGAGATATCTTAGGGTGGTTTTGATTTGCATTTCTCTGATAATTAGGGATGATGAACATTTTTTCATATGTTTGTTGGCCATTTGTCTATCTTTTTTAGAGAAGGTTCCATTCATCTCTCTTGCCCACTGATAGAAGGGATTGTTGTCATTTTTCATTTTGATTAATTTGAGTTCTCTATAGATCATAGTTATCAAGCTTTTTCTGTTTTTTCTTTAATTTTTTTTCTTTCTCTCTCTCTTTTTTTTTTTTTTCAGTTTTTGGCCTGGGGCTAGGTTTGAACCCACCACCTCTGGAATACAGGGCTGGCGCCCTCCTCCTTTGAGCCACAGGTGCCACCCATCAAGCTTTTTCTGATTAATAAGTTGCAAATATCTTTTCCCATTCTGATAGTTGTCTATTTGCTTTGGCTGTTGTCTCCTTAGTTGTACAAATGCTATTCAATTTAATTAAGTCTCATGTGTTTATTTTTGTTTTAGTTGCAATTACCATGGAAGTCTTCTTCATAAAGTCTTTCCCTAGGCTGATAACGTCAACTGTTTTCCCCCACAGTTTCTTCAAGGATTTTTATTGTTTCATGCCTTAGATTTAGATCTTTTATCCATCTTGAATCAATTTTAGTGAGTGGAGAAAGGTGTGAGTCCAATTTCAGTCTTTTACATGTGGTTATCCAGTTCTCCTAGTACCATTTATTGAATAGGGATTCTCACTTTGTCACAATCTGTAGAGTGCAGTGGTGTTGTAGCTCACAGCAACCTCTACCTTTTGAGCTCAAGCCATTCTCTTGGCTCAGCCTCCCAGGTGGCTAGGACTACAGGTGCCTACCACAATGCCCAGCTATTGTTTTAGAGACAAGGTCTCACTCTGGCTCAGGTTGGTCTCAAAACTGTGAGCTTAAATAATCCCACCTCAGCCTTCCAGAGTACTAGAATTACAGGCCCGAGCCACTATGCCTGGCCTGTGAAGTATAGATATTTTGACAATGTTAATTCTTCTCAGCTATAATCCTGGTATGTTCATTTGTTATTATCTTCTTCCCAGCTATAAGCCAGGTAAGTCCATTTGTTAATATTTTCTATTTCTTTTCTTAGGGTTTCAGGATTTTTTTCTTACAGAGGTCCTTCATCTCCTTTGTCAGATATATTTGTATGTATTTTATGTTTTTTTCTTTAAGCTACTGTGAAGGGAATTGTGTCCTTGATTAACTTCAAGGACTCAATTTTTATTGGAATTGAGTTCCACCTTTATTGCCTTGTGTTCGGAGAAGATACAAGGTATAATTTCTATTCTTTTATCTTTGCTGAGGTTTGATTTATATCCTAGGATGTGGTTCATTTTGTAGTATGTAGCATGGGCTAATGAGAAATATGTATATTCCTTAGCTTTAAGATGGTGTTTTCTGTATATGTCTATTGGTCTCATTTATTATACTGTCACATTTATGTCCTTTGTGTCTTTGTTTAGTTTCTGTTTAGAAGATTTGTCCAGTTTTGTCAGAGGCAAGTTAAAGTCCCCAACTATTATGGTGTTATGGGAAATCATATTGCTCAGACCCATCAAGGTCTGTTTCATAAATCTGGGATCAATTACATTGGGTGAATAAATATGTAAAATTGAAATGCTTTGTTGTTGAATTGCTCCTTTCACTAGTATAAGGTATCCCTCTTTGTCTTTCATAACTTTAGTTGCTTTAAATCTGCTTGTATCTGAAAATAAGATTGCAATCCCTCCTTTCTTCTGATTTCTATGTGCTTGAAATATTTTTTTCCATCCCTTAACTCTGAGTCTTCATATGTCCTTCAAGGCCAGGTGTATTTCTAGGAGACAGCATTTGGATGGCTTGTGCTTTTTTATCCAATAAGCCAGTCTATGCCCCTGCACTGTTGAATTCAGTTCATTGACATTTATTAAGAGATTTGAGAAGTGCGGTGGAGTTCTACTCATCATATTATGTGAAAGTCCATTGTGTAGTTTTTTATTTTTTTTATTTTTTTTATTTATTGTATTTTTTTTTTTTTTTTGGCAGTTTTTTACCGGGCTAGGTTTGAACCCGCCACCTCCAGCATATGCGGCTGGCGCCCTACTCCTTTGAACCACAGGAACCACCCACCATTGTGTAGTTTTATT